CCCGTCACAGCAGGGGTATTCCATTTTGGGCCTGGAGGGCCGGTATCCAGCAGGTTCTGTGGTTTCGTCGCGCCGACACACTTGATGCAGCGGTTGGATCGTCTGCGCAGCAGCTCGTAAGGCTCACTAGAGGCAGAAGAAGCAGAGATAAAACTAAAATGTGGGCCTGGAATAAAATGTCCCTGTTTTACAGGGTTAATAAAATGTCACTCGGCCCCCTACCGCGCTTGCAACTTCAGTGTGGCGGGCCGCTACCTGCTGGAGTTGAGCTGACAAACCTGCCTCTGCAGTCTGCTTCCAGGAAGTTTCCTGCATGTTTCAGGTCATGAACCCGGGTGATTTGTTTTATTTGGTGAAGAAGCACTCCTGTAGAGTGCTCTTCAGAGAGCATCTTCTAAGCTAACACTCTCCCAGCAGCCGTCCCCCTCTCTACTGCACACTCCATGTTCGCTTGCCTCTATGACTAATCATGCTGCCTCACTGCCACCTATTTGACTGAACAGTGTTTGCTGTTAGCCTCAAGGGCGACCTGCAGGCTTGATTATCACCGGTAAGTCACTTTGGACAAACGCGTCTGCTAAATACAGAAAGCTAAGTTTCATTTTCGGTTTAACCCTAACCCTAGCGGTCAGTAGGGGTCGCTAGACGGAAGCAAAAGTGTGCCTTTAATTTCCCATTTCTGTCTTAAATATCTAACGTTGTTTTTAATGAAGAGAAAGAAATTCCCAAATTCTGCTTTTTTATTTTCTGAATTCACAACTATGAAAAAGCGCTGTGGCTTTGCAGAACAACGAGTGCTTCTGCAAGGTCAACATAAAAATACATTATTCTTTCTGCACAATATTAGATTTGATCGTGTTTTCTGGTCGATTTTTGAAGACTTGCAAAAGGCGAGAGATGATGTCAGGGAGACGAGCGGGAGAGAGAATGTTGTTGGCGTTTGTTTATGTTCACAGAAACCATGACAGTGGAGGCTGCAGCCGTGTCTAAACACACACCGACACCCCCCCCAGTAGTTGCTGCAAAGCTGCCAAATGTACAATTAAACCAAAACACGTATTATTGTTGTATTTGTGGTTTTTGTATTTATACAATAACGTTTATTCTTGTACTTCTGACGTTTTTCACACGTTGAGGTGAATGGCTGAGGAAACGGTCGACCACTTCAGGAAGTGGTTTTTAGAAGATCTCGGTTCCCAACTGTTAAAGTACTCGGTACGTAAGAAAAATCTATTCGTGCCTAAAATAGCACTGTAATAATTTCCACTGGTTTCTTTTGGTAAGCAATTTCACAACCGTGTGTATTATATTTCTGGCTCCGTTTCTGCTAGCTGCATGTTTTTTACGTGTAACACGTGAGGAGAGTCGACCCGCTTTCCCTACACAAATGCAGTTTTCATGACTGTATATTTAAGAGGCTCCAAACATGACTGGATGTACTTCTGTGGTAAAAAGGTAAGAAACTAGACGTGATCTCTGGGTAGTCTGGTTCGGCACTCATGTCGCTAAAGGCAGCAGCGATGAACCATTAAGTAACCTTAAAAACAGGTGGAACCGTTTTTAAAGCTAAAATAGATCACTATTGGGATTTGTCAATGCAACAGGCTAACAGCCACATCCAGCTACATTAGAAACATGTAAACAGAAGTATTTCCCAACAAGCCCCGAGTGGTTCCAGGACGGAGGCTGATAACAGTTCTGCAGGCTGCTCAGTCTCACTGAAGCCCGTGAAACCTTAAACTTCAGACTGGAGATCTTCATCTGGGGCTCCTCCTCCGGCTCTGAGGACATTGGCTTTCTTGTCCATAAACTTAAGTTTGTGGTAACAAAAGCTGCCATCCAGTGCTGCTCAAATAGGTAGATGGGAAGTGATCTGTCAAGGTGGAGAGCTCTCTTCCTTCCAGACCGGGGGGGGGGGGGGGGGGGGGGGGATCTTGTTGCAGGCAACTGAATCGCTGCTCTGTTGGTTCTCCGCTGGACACGGTCAGAGTGTTTGTTGAAGGAGGGTCATGGAGGACTTTCTTCAGCATAGGAATTTCTCTGTCACACACACACACACACACACACACACACACACACACACACACACACAACACAGTCCACTGATTGGGGGACAGAAAACATCACTGCTTGCAATGAGCAAATCAAACACCAGAGTGCTGTTGTTGGTATTGTTATTTTTACACAGACGTGCTATTTTTTATAGGTCCAACAGATCGGGCCAGCAACTGTCCAGTTGCAAATACAGTATTTTTCCAAATCAGGGCCAACACTGAACCGGCACTGGGCCAGAATCCCGACAGTAGAATATAATAGACCTTATTGATCCCACAGTGGGCAGATTCACTAGTTACAACCGCACCAACACTTAGAGGATTACAAAGTTACAAGTACACACAGGCAGTAAGCTATTACTGTACTTTCAATCACCAAAACAATGAATAAGACATGAAAGACTTGGGTTTCAGAACTATGCAGCATACTGCAAGGGACACAGACATGTGTACATCTGATATTGCACAGGTATGGAACACATACTGAGAACTGCATTGATGTTTTTGTGTACCAGGATAAGGCCGGTACAGCTTAAACTGAGGAGTAATACACTCTTACTGCAGAGGGGATGAATGACCTGCGGTCACGTTCTGATTTACATCTGGGATGTCTCAGTCTGCCTCTGAAGGAGCTGTCCATGGGGGGTTTAAGATGGAGGTCATCTTCCCCGTCCTCCGTTCACACGTCTTCTCAACTAAATCCAGTGGACAGCCCAGAACTGAGCTAGCTTTGTTAACTATCCTGTTCAGTCTCTTCGTGTCCCGGTCAGAGCTGCCTGCACCCCAACAGACCACAGCAGGGTGGAGAGCAGAGCCAGCCACAGAGTGTTACAAGGATTTTAGCAGATGGTAATTAACTCTGAAGAATCTCCGCCTCTTCAGGAGGTGGAGGTGGCTTTGGTCCTTCTGATACAGAGCATCAGTGTTGTTGGACCAGTTTAGTGTACTGTTGAGGTGAACACCCAGGTAATTAAAGGTATCCACCCTGTCAGTGTCTGCTCCCTGTGTGTTTACTGGTGAGTGGGAAGAATTGTTTCACTGGTAGTCAATCACCATTTCCTTTGTCTTACTGGTTTTCAAGCGAAGGTGGTTACACTCACACCAGTCCACGAAGGCCATGATGACTGATCTGTACTCCTGGTCACTCCCCTCAGACACACAGCCGACAATGGCTGAGTCATCAGAGGACTTCTGTAGGTGACATTTGCTAGTGTTGTAGGCGACGTCTGAGGTGGAGAAGATGAATAGAAAGGGTGAGAGCATTGTGCCCTGTGGAGCTCCAGTACTGCATGCAACCACCTAGACGTACAATTGTGCAGCCTCACGTACTGTGGTCTGTTGGCGAGGTAATTGATGCATGGTCCATGCAGTCAGATGTTCGTCAACTCCAGCACCCATCAGTAGGCGCAGCTGGATGGTGTTGAGGGCACTTGAAGTCGAAGAACACGATTCTCAGTGCTTTTTTGCATCTCGAGGTGAGTAAGAGTTTGGTGCTGCAGTTCGATGAGCGTGTCTTCCACCCCCATGTTTGGTTTATTTTCAAATGGAAGTGGGTCTATTTCTTGTCTCACCACTGAACATCGATGGGTGAGGATGAGCCTCTCCATAGTCTTCATTAGATGGGAGGACAAGGTAACAGGTCTGTGTTGGTCTGGTTCTCTGGGATGTGATGTTTTGCGAACTGGAACCACACAGAAGGTCTTCCACAGGATGGGGACCTGCTCCATCCAAAGGCTCAGGTTGAAAATGTGCATGGCCACTCCACAAAGCTGATCAGCACAGCCTTTGAGCAGTCTGGGGATGATCCTGTCAGGACCTGCAACTTCCCTGATTCTGAGCTGCCTCCGCTCTCTCCTCACCTGATCAGATGCAGGTGCAGAGGAGTGTTGGTGGTGGGGGAAATGCTGTTGGATGGTGTGGAAGTTGGGAGTGAGGGGAACTGGCTGGCTGAGTGGAGGCGGTTGGGGGGTGATGGTGGTACCTGTTGCAGCTGTGGGGGTGTGGAGTCGAATCTGTTACTAAAACAAGTGAAATTAATTGAAATTTCAAATGAAACCAACAAAAAAGAAACAACAATGCTACAGCCTGCAGTCCAGTCCACAGGTCAAAAAAAGGAAAGGAGGGGAGAAAAAGGCACTTCCATTTCCTAGAGTCCAGACCGTAATAATGGTGCCTTCCAGTCATCCTCAGAACTCGTTTTTCCAAGATAAGTTAGCCAGAAATGACATAATAATCTCGGAGCTGCCAGCTTTTAGGTTTCATAGGACCCCAAGATCCCAAATTTGAGGATGGCTATGCCCAGTGCTACCAGAAAGTAGTTTTTGTCTTTTTTCCCATTTATATGGTCTGTTTCCTTTCTTTTTGCCATTTAACAGCACAGAGTAACTGTTTGTTGTTGTCAATAATTACATAGCTAAAAAATTCAACACTGCCGCCAAAATTGACAGATGTTTCTGGTTTTTACTTTTCCTGGCATTTATATTTTTTTACATTTGATTTGTAATGTTTTTGTGGTTGTATGTGGCGAATGTTGAAGGGCATGTTTGTCACTATTATTTAGGTGCAGAGAACACTAGGTTATAGTTCTTTGGTGTAGTACTACACTGGTGGCCTCCATGTTTTCCGAGTTGGAAGTTGGAACACAAAACGAGCCAGTTACATCATTTCCAGCACAGAGTTGCCTGCTATCTGGGATTTTAGCACATACTGGCACAAGAAAACGATTTACAAGTATGAAAGAGTTGCAAAGTATCCCTTTAACGTGATAATTTGACCCTCAAAATAATACTGTTGTTATTTATTTATGGAAGGGGAAGTGAGGGGGGCTTTGGCTCCAGGCGTTTCTAAATCTCAGCTGTGGCCCTGTAAATGCGTCTAACACACACAAAAAGGACTCGTTTGAAAACACAGACATTACTTCACACGTGCGTTGATTCTGAGGAGGAAGGGGAGTGTTTTACTTTCCGTGAAGAGAAGACACACCTTCAGCTCCTTGTGTTTTCCTGCATGTCAGCTGAGGGCGACAGAGGGAGGTGTCCCCACCACTTCCCCCCTTCTTTCCCTTTTCTCAAGATTTCCCTGAGTCCACAATAAACTTTCATTTTGGGAAGTCGTCATACATACAAACACACGCGTGCGCGCGCATACAAGCACATACAGCATCGGCCGTCATCGTGTGCTGCCCTGGCTTTCTGCAAAGCTAAAATACTTGTTGTAGTTCGCGCGTAAAAAGGCGCACTGGGAAGACGGACATCTAAAAGCGCACAGGTGGAGCGCCTGTTTTATTTGGACTTTTTCAAAGAGGAACCAAACAGAAAGACAAGACAACGGCACAGAGCATTATGTTTTATTGATGGTTAATTATCGCGTTGTTTGCTTGTTTTCTGCGTGTTTTCTCTCCACGGGAGCCTCAAGGAACCACCTGGGATGGAAAAGCTTGCCTCCTCCGGACTATAATAAAACCTCCCGGGATAAAGAATGAAGTAACAGCTATGGAGCCGGACAATGCCCCGCACTCCAAACCCAAAGCTGCGGGAGTCGGGGGGTGAGTCAAGATTTATTGGCTGCTTAACTTCGACACTTTTTAGGGTTAATACATCCTAGGAGTCCGCCGTGTGAGCGTGACTGGAGGAAGAAATGAGTGTTTGTTGAAATAGTTTCCAAAAATAAAAAGTTAACTAAACATTTCAGTTGTGTGCTGCAGCATCTGCACCGGAGCGGATAGGAAGCTTTAATAAGTTGCATGTGGAAACAAATGCGCTTGTCACAGTTCAGTGAGAGTCTCCGTTCTGCCTGCGCAGCTTGTTTCAGAATGAACTGCCAAACGATCTGGGACTGATTTGAGACGATCTTCTCCTCCCTTTTCCTCTCCTTTCCTCCCTGCTGTGAGCTCCACTCAGCTGGCCAGTGCTGGCTCTCCCAATGGGAGGAGGGCCAAAGAGTCAGAAAGTTGCATCAGTCCTGCCAGACTCACTTTCTGTCCTGTTTTGTAGCTGCACCTGGTTGGTGAGCATTTTTCTGCGGCTTTCTGCAAAACCACGGATGCACACACACTAAAAAACACACAAGTTTTCACTGCAATCTCATCACTGTGTGGGCCACTTCAAGCAGCAGTCACTCTACAGGCAACCGATTCAATCTGCAGGAATAAGCCAGATTAACAACTGTGTGGTGTAAAAAACAGCATGATGTCAGCTTCAGTTTGGATGTCATTCTGAGATGTTAAAGCAATCCTAGTTAGACATTAAAATTGTCAGTAAATAGGAAACATTCAGCTTATTTATACAATTCACAACCAGTCATCTCAAGGCACTTTAAAAAGTGAGCATTCCAATTGAACCTACTTATAAGTGCTCCGAGTTCAGTTCATTTTTCCGATTAGTTCAAAGTTTCTTTTGTAAGAAAACCCAACAGACTGTGTGGAGTCGCTGACCTTTACTGCAACCTTTCACATTAAGCAAGCATGCAGCGACAGTGGGGAGGAACCCTCCCCTTTAACAGGAAGAAACCTCCAGCAGAATGTGTTGAGCCTTACCCCGGCTTTCCACAGGAGCCGTCAGCAGCGCGAGTCGGCCGCGTCTCAGGAGCAGCATGTCGCGGCCTTTACGCGCCGGTTCTATTTTCTACGCGCGGCGCCTCTGAAACGGGTCAAGTTCGACATTTTTGGGGAAGGAAAGACAGGAAATCAGACGCGGAAATGGAGAGAAGCTTCCGAGATTTTCAGAATAAAGAGCGTACTGCCTTCCGGTTGCTTTACTTTTAAAAGAAGTGCGGCCCCGTGAGAAGTTATCACCTAGCTAGCGGTCTCCTTTGTTTTTCAGGTCCGTATTGGCGATTATAAAACGGACAGAACATAAAACACAAACCATGTTGTAGTTTTCTCCTGCTTGTTGTTGTGTTTACTGACGAAGTCACTCGTGTGACTTCGTGCTCGGTCGGTGACAGCTGCTCCCCTGCTGCTTCGCGTCTCGTGGGAAGGGCCAAGCAGCAGCTTACGCCAGCAAGACGTGCTGCTGCAGTAACGTGCTGCTGACGGCTCCGGTGGAAACCCGGGGTAAAGCCTAATTTATACTTCTCCGTCAGCTCCACGAGGGAAAGACAGACACGCACGCACGGGCGGAGACATTTTGCTCTCATACTTCTCCGTCTCCTGGGGAGTGTTGCAAAGCAATTCTCCGCCACAGCAGAGGGCGTAGCGCTGTTCTGTGGTATCCTGTCATGTATCGGTCCAGGATAGTGTGTTTATATTGTGTTTTTTGTACATAAGAGACGTTTTAACACAGACAGATTTGTCTCTCATCCTCCTCCACCTCTTCATGCGCTCCCCACCTCTAAACCCACGTTTCCTGTCATTTCTGTCCACAAATAAAACGCTTGCTGCGCATCTTTTCACTCCTCCAGTCACGGGGAATTAAACGTTTATGTTTTTAGAGTTTTTTCACGAGGTATTCTTCAAGCTTCTCCGTGTCTGCCGCCAGTTGTCCTCGGCTCTGTTTATGTTTTTGAGGGCGCAATGGCGGCGGTGTAGACGACAGCGGTGCCCTGACCAATCACAAGCTTGTGTTCTCCGTCTCGACGGACGAATGTTTAGAAAAGAGAGCTCGACTCCGTCCGTCCTTGCGGGGCTCTCCAGCAGGCCCGCAAGGACGGATAATGGCGTTGCGTGCATCCATCCCGATGCAGACGGAGACGTGTAATTTAGGCTTAACCTGGTGTGTGACAGGAAACGCTGTGACCGTCAGTCAAGCTTCAGAAGAGTTTCATTCATTAGTCAGACCTTGCAACAATATTACTACCAAACAGGGCTTTCATAAGCAGAAGCTAACCGTCATGCACATAGTTTTTTATTGGGGGGGGGGGGGGGGGGGAGATATGTCCCCCCACTTTTTCCAAAGTAAATTTTTGTCCCCTGCACTTTTTACTGTCTAAACCAATATTATGATATATCAGGTAGATGCTGGTTGAGCACTAGGACCAAGCGGAAAACAACCGCATGTTACATATTTTTTGTATACTTATTGTAAAGACCCCCGCACGCCCCAGTCCTTATCCCGGTTTTGTCCCCCCCCCCCCCTTATAAAGTTAAAACTACATCCATGCTAAATGTTAGCATTAGCTACTCCACAACGTGGCAGAACTCCTTCAGGCTGGTGTTATTTGTGGAGATAAAACAATAACATTGTAGAGCAAACAATGCCATTGGTAGAGCTGTGTTGCTGTTAGCCAATCAGAGGCACGATCTCCAAATATCAGGAAGTAAGACTCCAGAACCAGCCGCCTTCTGCTCATCCCCCTTCTCCAAATGCGTTTCACAATTGGAAGATATCGACGCTCCTTCAAGATAATTAGAAAAAACATTTCTTTCCAGGGTGAGAAGTATGATCAGCCAGTTTTTTATTTAAAAGTGATAAACTGGTACAAACATCACCTTACATGTATAATGGCCAAAACTCTGATGGCTGTGAAGTAAAAAAAATGAAATTTACATTTCTGTTTACCTTTACAGATGACTATAAACATGAAACCACCAGATCTTCTAACATTTTTTCCACCTTTTTGTTGGTTTTTCCAGGAGAACTTTGCTTTTTTGGACCATATTGTGTTTCACCTGCTCCCTGAGGCTCGTACATGCACAAGGTAAGCAGCTTAAAGGCAAACATTACAGAAAAAGTGTTTTTTTCCTGCATAATCACACAACATAGCAGGCAGAATCACGAATGTGCTCCATAATCTGTGTGAGGAAATCAAAACAGCCTCATACCGTACCATACCAGCTTTATTTCTAAAGCCATTCCAACACCCACAAGACCAACGTGCTGTACACAAAATAATAAAATGGCAATCACTTGGTACATAATAAAAGAAATAGAGTCAGAGTATGTCAGGATTTAAAGTTAAAGTCCCATCACACACTGGTGAAATATTCAGACATCTCACCTGATTGGCTAACAGCATTGCAACTCTACCACTGGCTCGGTTTGCTGTGCAACATTGATGTTTGAGGGGGGTGTAAACCTGCAACCCCTGTTATGGGGCGGGAACTTCACTCCTCTGCCGCCAACGCCCCAGTATGAACAAATGCCCGGTGAGTCGTTTTCTGTTGGGGAAAAAAAGCTCTCACGCTCCTGTTTCAGGCACATGTTAGATGGAGAACCCAGAAAACATCAGGATTACGAATCTTGCTCATTAATGTCCATGATAAGTGAACCTCTTGCCTCTTATTGGCCAACAGCAATGCAACTCTTCCACTGTCTCCATTCGCTCATTTTCAGGGTGAAAAATGCAACGTTGATATCGCAACAAACATGGACGTAATTTTCACTTTAGAAGTGTGTGTGTGTGTGTGTGTGTGTGTGTGTGTGTGGGGGGGGGGGGGGGGGGGGGGTTGAGGGTGGGGGGTGGGGGGGACAGGCTTCAACACAAACGGTTGTTTTCCGCTTGGTCCTAGAGCTCAACCAGTGTCAATTTAATATAGCGTAACATTGTTTTTGGATGGTAAAAAGTGCAGGGGTCAAAACTTGACTTTGGAAAAAGTGAGGGGGGACATGTCCCCCCTGTTCCCCCCAAAATTACGTCCATGGCCACAAATAAGACAAGACTGAACGTGTCCCGCCACAATGTGGAGTTGCTAACTCTAGTTGTTAGCTTCCATTATCCGAGACATGCTCAGCTCTCCTGGGTGCTGAATCGACAACAGCCTTGCCCCGTCGCCAGTGCCGTGTCCAGGCCTTTTAAAATGGGGTAGCTCAGGTGGGGCTCTTGTTTATGCATGGGTGGCATCTATAGTTATGGTTTTTTTTATGTAGGGGTCGAGGGTGGATGGGGGTTGGGAGACAAAAAGCCTTTTGTAGACAATGTAAAGTAAATTTAAATGGAGCTCAGTGGGGTGGCCCATCAGATTCTAACGTTGGCATGTGCCACCCCAGGTCAGTCCCTGGACACGACCCTGCCTGTCATGAGCCAAGCTGGGCGAGTCCAGGAATGCTAAAGCGTGACGTGGATCTGACTGACTTTTCTAATCCGATCATTTCCCTGTCTGTTTTTTATTGGTGGCTGATGCAGGAAACAGGACAGAAGACTATTTTCACATTTAGCCTGTATGGTAAACTAACAGATCATTTAAAAAATAACAAGTAAAAGGTCATAGGTGAACTTGGTCTATAGAAACATTGAAATGATCTGTCCTTATGGTACTGCTTGTATACGGTAGGATGATAAACGTGTAACAGACAATTCCATTCCTCTAAAAACAAAATGTAGTTATTTTCTTAAACTGTATTCATAACAGCCCCACTTTTTAATGAAGACACGTTTTTAGCTAATTCATTCTGCCAGCATCACTGTTTCTGCAGCTGTTCAGTCCTTGTATTTCACTAGATCAACAAACCTAAACCACTCTGAAGTGGCTTCATAAAGCTGGTTTATGACCCATCGGCCGTGCTTTACAAACATCCCTGTTCACTTGAAAGTGCACTTTTTATTTGGACTCATGCTAAGCTGTGTGTTCATACCTTTCTGTTGCACAACCAAGAGACTATGATGAGCACGTTGTTAGATTTTATTGTGCGGTTTATAAAACAGGACTATCTTGGCCTGGGGGGGGGGGGGGGGGGGGCGCAAGGCATGGCGGCCCGCCAGGTTTAAGGAGCGCTAGGAGAAACCCTGTTCCTGATATGATTGAGCAGCAAACCTCTCACACCAGTGGTGTTCTGTTGCCAAGAACGTGAGTGAATACGTAAGTGACCACACATCACATTCAATAGGCAGCACACTCATTTGTTCTCCAAATTGGGGCAATCCACCATGCTCACTATCTCCGATTTATGACTGGAGCACTCCAGATGTGCTTTCAAGCAAACCAGAGCTCTCTTAACACACCACACACTGCAAGAATATCATATCTGATAAGATTATCTTTAGAGCTCCTAGGGTGATTGGGCAAGTCCTTAAAAGTACTGATCACTGAAAAATGATTTTATACGTAATATTTCTGATTATAATTGGTTATAGAAACTCTAGGATTGGAAGTCTGACAGACCCATGTCGCTAAATATTCATGGACTCACCCATCTTGCTCGCAAAGGGGAAGGATGTTGTTGGTTTAGCATCCAGGAAACAGTACAATCTAATTGTTAGCATTAGCACCACAGCAGAACTCGTTCAGGCGTGTTATTTGTGGAGATAAAACATTAGCATAGCTGAGCAAACGGAGTCAGAGTCATTGCTAGAGTTGCGTTGCTGTTGTCCAAATCGAGACAAAATGTCCAAATATCAGGAAACAAGACTCCAAATCCAGTTGTCTGAAGCTACTTTCTCCTCCAGCTGACATCTGAGCTTTCTCCCCCCAGAATGCAACTCACAAGGCATTCTTTCCCACTAGAGACCACTGCAAGTGTATCCGTTAAACAAGCGATCCACACTCAGGGCCACAGTTAGACCTAAAACAGGTAGAAGTGTAGAAGGTAACCCTAACCCCAAACCACTTGGGAGGGGGAGAGTAAACTTTGATGATATTGGATGATCCAGAGAGGTGAGTTTTGTAGAAAAACTTTAACTCATTCGCTGCCAGCGTTTCTCACCGTTTTTACTGTTTTTTTAAGAGTGACAGAACGTTGCGCGCTAGGATGATGTCGACGCCAGAACAACCAAAACAAAGAGGAGACTCGCCTCTTACATCAGGAAGAATCCGCACGTTTCGAGCGTTATCCGTTCTTTCATAATCCGTTGTTGAATTGGGATCGGCAGAAGCTTTTCCGGTTCGCGCCTCACTTTTTTTACAGCAGCGGCCCAAAACGATCTCCTAACACATGGATGTTCTGCTGCCTGATCACGTGACGTGTGACGTACGCGGATGAAGATCGGCTTCAGGGCTGAGATGTTTGTTCTTACGGTGCGGGGGCTCGTCCGACGCCCACACAGTAAAAACATGCAGTGAACGGTTGGATTTAAAATGACGACTTTAGTCGTCATTGGCAGTGAATGAGTTAATAGACCTCCAGGTTCACATTCTTTGTAAAATACCACATAATGTTTAATCAATGCAAGCACGTGCATGCTCTCTGGTAAAGTTTTGTTGTCTGATAGAGTAATTTTTTTAAATGCAACTTCTCTGTATTTTATTTTTATTCACTTAATTTTTTAGCCTTTTTTCTGTTTATCAGGAGTTTGCAAAGAGCTGGAGGCAGCCCGCCTACACACTTAGATTAAAAAATGGTGCTCAGAAAGCCTCGAGAATACACGAGACAATCAAAGAACAACTTGTCTTTCTCATGCCTTATTGCCAATTCAGATCAGTGTTGCAGAAGACAGCTCGACGGTCTTTGTTGGGCTTGCAGCATGGTTTTAAACGTACTTTTTCTCTGTGTGTGAGTTTTTCAGTCAGGCGGATCCCCTGCCTGCACACGCAGAGCAGGGGCTCCCTCCTCTTAACAGAAAATGGGTCTACGCTTTCCTCTGCTGAGCCACAAATGATAACTCAGCAGTCTGTTTTAGTCCAGCGCACATTTGTTTCGTATCGCCCTGGAAGGTGACTGAAGCTGCTAGTTTACATTCTGAACAGTTTCCTGCATCTGCAGGAAATTGGAAAAGTTGCTTAAATGTTTGGCGCTTGTAATAAATTATTTAGTGGAAATAAAGTGTGTTTCTTTCACAACTGAAATGTGGATTTAATTAAACCTTTCCTCTAAGGTGTGCATCCAATTAGGAGCAATATACAACACACACAGCACCGTGATGTGTACACATTACTCACATGTTCCTCCAGCGAGACACCAGTAGCAATTAAAACCTGCAGCAAGCAACCTGCAGGATGTTCTCCTGAGCTCAGGCCCCCGTCAGAGGAACGGTCTCTAATCAGCAGACATTACCAGATAATGTTTCTGTTTGTGCGCTCGGAAACCCCCCATACCCCCACAACTGTCTCCTCCTGGGACGCGTTCAACCTCAACTTCCTGAGATTGTCCTAATTAAGACTGATGTAAGGGTGACATAACACGCAGCAATCCCCTATCGTAGATGCTGATGTGTGACCCTATAGAGACTTTCATGTAGGTTGTTTCTGATAAATGGCTTTGCTGTGAGTTTCCATGAGTCTGACTTCAAACCTGTAAGTCCCAGGATTGCATCACGACACGTTAAATATCACTCATGCTTCTGCACTCTCATCTCCTTCCGTTCATGCTCTGGTGCAGATCCGCACGCTGAGATTCATAAAGAGACTTTTGCACAAATTGTTACCTCGTTTTCATTTGGGTCTCATAAGTGTTGGTAATGAGGGGAATGCAGCGCGGTAATAAAGAAACAGATTAAACAGATGAAAGCAAAGCAAAAGTACATGTTCTCTGTGTTCAACGTGATCAGAGCTCTGGATCATTTTCAGCGTCATTAAGTCTACAAACCTGACTTACTTCTTATGCTTTCTTGTTTTTCTCTTGAAGATGTGGACGTCCTGCAGCATCTTGGGCTTTTTGGGCGGAGGGCAGCTGGGTCATCGCCCGCACCTCCTCAGCCTATTCCTAATGGAGTCATCCCCTTCAAGTCCGGCATTATCCTGACCCCACGGGCACGCGTCCAGGTGCCCCTGCGCACGGTTCTCCCTGCATCCTACCACTCCACCAGCTTCTCACTGGTTCTCAGCCTGTTTGCTCATCGCTTCAACAGCGCCTTCCTTTTCTCTGTTCTGTCTAAGAGAAAGAGGGTGCAGCTCGGACTGCAGCTCGTTCCAGGGAACGTCATCGTTCACGTCGGGCACAAGAGCTTTGTAACTTTTGACTATGACGTCTACGATGGCCGATGGCATCATTTTGCTTTGGATATTCGAGGCCGTCATGTATTCTTGCACACATCCTGTGGTAAGAACAGTCTACGCGCATACCTGTCTTCTCAAAAGGAGGCGGTGTTGGATCCAGATGGCTCATTCCTGCTGGGCAAAATGAACCGCCATTCAGTGCCATTTGAAGGTGCCATTTGTCAGTTTGACATCCATCCGTCTGCAGAGTCGGCTCATAACTATTGTGATTTTATTAAGAAACACTGCAGAGAAGCAGACACCTATCGGCCCGTACTTTCTCCCATGCTACCTCTGTTTGCTGATCCAAATATTACTTTTGCTCGCACAAGCCCGTCATCTTTGGCCTTGACTACGGAAAGCTCCAGGACCACGATTCTTCCAACTGACCGCCCAATATCACCGAAAACAACATCTGAGTATTTGAATATAGGCACTCCGAAAGCTGGTTCTGGTTCTGTTTCTCCACCAGATCATCCACGATCAGAAAGCCCTTCCAAGATTTTAACGCAGACTGTTACTACATCTCTCAGGATTAGCGTGACTACACCCAATCCAAAACCAAACATGCACACCCGGAAGAACACCAGGCAGAGGGACGCTAATCCATCAAAACCTTCTGGGAAGCATGAACGTTTTCCTGGTTCTACCAGACAGTCAGATCTGAAGCCAGACTTTAGCACCACGGCTGTTCCCACACACAAATCTCCCTCAAGCACACCCCCCCACCCAGAAAAGAACCCATCCCCGGAAGCTCTCCAGAAACCCGAGCCAAAAGTGACCGGTTCACAGGATTTCACGTCTACCACTCCTACTACGGCCACTCCAGCTTCCGCAGATGACTCGCAGACATTTGACCTGGAGCCGACCCAGTTTTCCCTGCTGGCTGGATCACCTGGACTAAAGGGAGATCCGGGACCACCGGTGAGTGAGTCAGCTCAAACCCAAACGCTGCAGAAATGAGTGTGTGTGTGTGTGTGTTTACTGCAGAGTGGTGGTGTGTTTCTGAACGAGTCAGGACCGATATGAAGGGTCACGGTCAGCCGATGACTAATTTGTGCCTCCAGCCCTCATCGTCGATGCCCACACTTTCTGAACCTGAGTCAGTTTTTGAACTCTGAATTGAACCAGCTGTTGAATCTGCTCTGCACAGACATTTTTAGAGCATTTTATTTAAACATACATTTAAATACATTTTGGACGCAGCAATGGGCTGTCCGCAGATGTGCCTGTTTTTAATCTGCTCTACTAAAGACATTTATTGGCTGATTTTTATATTAAAAACATTTAATATCAGCCCACTTTATCAGCGCACTGACATGTTGATCCATTCCTGTGTAGAACTGCAGCTGATGAAAGCTCTGGTTGAGCTTTGGCCCAGTTTCAATAGACTACCTTAGGAGCTGTTTGCTTTTATGTTTATCATTATTAATAACTTTTTATTTTGTGTCCTCCTACTGACTCAGATACTTCTTTACTTCTTGACTTCTCAGCCGTATTTACGTTAGTGGTTGAGAGTTTTGGAATTGATACGTTTCTTGTCCAATGGCGCCATCTAGAGGCTGAAAAATGGTACGCACCTCAAGCCGCTCCTGCCACTTCTGTATTTAGAGCCAAAAGCAATGCTTCTCATTCATAAATGTGCACTTCCAATCACCCAGTCACGCTATGTTGTTCATACATACATACATATATATATATATATATATATATATATATATATATATATATATATACATATATATATATATATATATATATATACATATATATATATATATGTATGTATATACATATATATATATATATATATATATATATATATATATATATATATATATATATATATATATATATATACGTCCCGGCCGCTCCAGTCATCACAGGATGGTCGGCTAGCAGTGCCTACACCACGCTCAGGACAATCCAGACTCTTCTCATGCATCGTTCCACAAATGTGGAATGACCTTCCAAGCACTACCAGAACAGGAGCTTCCTTTTCAATTTTCAAGAAACTCCTGAAGACCCTGCTCTTCAGAGAGCATCTTCTAAACTAGCACCCTCCCTGCACCCGTCCCCCCTCTCTACTGTCCACTCCTTGTTCCCTCCTCTCCATGACTGATGTCAAGTTGTTGTTGTTGTTGTTGTTGTTGTTGTTGTTGTTAGCCTCAAGGGCAACATGCCGATTATCACTTGTAAGTCGCTTTGGACAAAAGTGTCTGCTAAACACATAAACATAAACATATATTACATATATATATTTATATATATTATACATATAAACATATATATATATATATATATATATATATATATATATATATATATATATATATATGTGCGTCTGTTGACATTATTACATCAAGTGCTTTTAGTTAATGCTAACTGTTGCTCTTCTATGGGACAGGGCTGCCTTAACAAACAAATAAGACGTATTAACTACATCATGTCACAGGACAGGGTAAGGGTTTCACTTTCATGAATATTTAAAAAAAATTCATACATAATTCCTGAAAGTGGGAAATCTCTGGATTGCAACTAACTGATTTATTCCCTGAGCTGCAAATCGTGCATACACGGGGTTGTGAGACATATCAGTGCCAGCAGTTGTACACCGTTTCCTTTCAGAGCCCTTTCAGCCAGTAAAGGGTCTGGCAGTGAAGTGTTAGATTCCTCTGACGTGATGTGTATGTTTGAAAGGGGGGTCAAAGGTTAAGAGGATAAAGCGCTGGGACACAATCAGCCATTCAGACTATATATTTAAAGGCCCAGCTCAATATGAATGCTGTGATTTGTTTCGCATAATGAAGCGCCCCAGACTGGTAACTTTCTATAATTTATCCTCCACATTTAATGCAAAAAGGCACTTAGGAAGAGACACAAACATTTCTGAATTTATTACAAGAAATGTTCCTGGTGACATCATTTTTTTAAAGAGCAGGCTCACAGAGAACCAGTTTTTCATTTGTTATTTCCAAAGATAATCATTAACTGAGTTTTTCATGCAGGCTGAACAGGGAAATAGTCTTCTACACCCATTTCCTGCATGAGCTTCTGATGGAAAATAGACGGATAAATGCTCGGATCATTTTGTTGGTTTAGCCTCCAGAAACCAGCAGAGAACGCCTCGGCTAGCAGAAGCTAACTGTTAGCATTTGCAACTCCACCACACAGCAGAACTCCTTCAGGCAGGTCTTATTTGTGGAGAGTGATTGTTGCAGAGCAAACAGAGTCATGTTGCTGTTAGCCAATCAGAGGAGAGATGTGCACATATCAGGAAATAAGAGTCTAAATCCTGCCGTCGGAAGCAACTTTCTGCTCCAGCTGACTTCTGTGTCCCCAAACAGGAGCACTAGAGGCCCCACCCCCCCAGAACAGCTTACAAGGCTCTCATTCCTAGAAATCGCTGCAAATGTACTCAAAATATGAGTAAAGTCGACCTTAAAAGAAATTTTCACCTGAGATGCTTCAAGCTCCAACCTAATGCATGTGCTGGACACTGTCAACTACAACAAACAATGTTCGTTCTTACTAATTTAGCACTAAGTCCTGGTCCTCCTTTTTGTTGCTGCAGTTATTTGATTACGTACAGTTGGCTCACACCGTCTGTGGCTTAGTGTGGCTGTCAGCCGACGAGTCTGGACGACTCCTGGAGACCGGTAGGGATGACAACATTTGTGTCATGCAGGCCTTGCAGTATAGCAGACGGTGACATGATGAATTGGATCGGTGTCATCAGCAGCCTCTCAGCATTACATCCTCCATCTCAGCATGACAGAACCAACGGAGGCGGGGCTTAGCCTGGCAGCATTGATGTGTCTTGTTACAGATACACGTGAGACAAACATTAGACTCTTTTGGTTCATTTTAAATCAGTAAAGCTAGATGAACTTGTTTAGATTTGTTTGCTGGCCGTCCAAACCAGCACAAAATTATTAGCTTGCTAGGTGTTTACACTCTAAACTCTGTTGGTCACACACAGAATTTGCCTTTTGCCTTGATGCTAGCTCTACTTTAACCTTTCATGTTGGTTCAGAGGAGTAGTGTGGATGACTGATGTTTCTTTGACACGCGTCCCTTACAAGTCAGTGACTTTACAGCAATGTGCCGGGCTCCTTGTTACTTGTTACTGATTGGCTTGATGATCTGACCTGTTTACTGTGTGAAGGTCCTTGAGACGACTCTTGCCGCTATACAAATAAACTTGAATCGAATTGAGAGTGAGACCCATCAGTAAAGCAATACGCAGTCAGTACTTCCATCAAACACAGTATAGTGCGGTAAACAGACGTGGGACCCCATGACACCATCACAGCTCAGAAAATGAACATAATAGAAGATAGTATGTCACCAGAACTTCAAAATAAAACCTTATTTTAGGTGTAAAAGTTGTAGAATGGGGCTTTAAAGACACCAAATGAAATCATGTTTATATCAATCTGTAAACAAAAGAACGAAGCACGACTACCACCACCGATGCTTTGTCCCTAAAACGCCTATTTTTGCTCACATTTCATTATGGAAGCACTAATTATTTAGTGCAAAATGGGCTTAAGAACGGTCACAGGGAAGCAGAAAGTGGTTTGAAGTGTTGGCTTGGCCCTCACGTTCCTGTGATATGGGTCCAATAGACAATTTGGGAGAAAATCACGGACATAAGGTTCGATCCACAGCTTAATACGTATGTGGTTAAGGGATATTGTATAGAAATTGCATAAATTCTTGGAGGAAATTGCTCTCCTTCTATTACTACCCTGGAGCTGACCCAAAGAGCAACTGCAGCTCAGACGACTTATCACACACACACACACACACACACACCACCTGATGGTTGTAATCTGAAGAATCGAAATGCCTTTTGGCTTGTTTGAGTATGTGCCGGCTGAAATATTTAACATCTGACCAGATTTAGGGAAGCTGTCCAACACACACAGGAGTTCTGGGTCCATCTGACATCAATACAGAAGCCCACTTTCAGTAATTCTGCCTCCAGCTGTTTTAGGACTACTCTCCTCTTAAAAAACTTCTTGAGCTCTGAGAGAGCGAGTCCCAGTGCCAAGATCCGAAACAAAATCAGGTTCTCAGGTTGACCCTTCATTAAATGTGACCTCTCAGAGCTTTGCTAATCCACGTATGAAATTGTTTTAAAGCTAGCCGATGCTGATAGTTAATGTGATTGGTTGTGGCTGGATCCAGTGGTCACCTCCCTGGTGGCAGAGGGACTCAGACTCAGGGCCGGTCCACTGTTGTGGTTCTGGGCTGAAATAATGTAGGCTGGAGAAAAGGCTGACACCAGTTTCTGACAAGTCTCCCTCACGCATGGCAGCATGTCAGCGACTGCTATGTCAGCTAGCTTCACCCAAAGTGACATCAAGGAAAACAACAAAGAAATGTAGACTGAACGTCTTTCCTAAAGTGGAGGTTCACTGAGAACCGTGGAATACTTGTTCTTGTTCAAATACGATCGGTCACGCTGAGTTTACAACATGGCTGATGGTCTTCTACCCCATTTCCTGCTTTAGAAAATAGATGAGGAAATGGTCGAGTGAGTCAGAAAAAGCCCTGCGGATCTACGTCACACTGGACAAATTGCATCCATGGCCCCACCCACCTTAGTTCATGAAAGGCTCTCTTGATTTAGCGTCCAGGAGAGTTCAGAGCACATCTAAGCTAGTAGAAGCTAATAATTAGCATTAGCAACTCCACAGCAGAGTGGAACTTGTTCATGCTTGTGATATTTGTAGAAATAAAACATGAATGGTGCATTTTTTACCCTAAAAGGAAGAGCGAGTGGAGGCAGCGGAAGAGTTGCGTTGTGAGTCGTTCACTTATGAATATCATGAATATGTAGAGTTGTACATATTATATGTAGAGGTGGTAAATCGAGTGCTTTAAGAACTTAATACATCACCTTTAATTATGACCAATAAGCTGTGATACTCTATGTAAACATAGAACATCAACCTGCCTGGTCTTTGGATGTTTAGTCAGAAGATTCTAGGTTTCTTTGCTTTTTCAGGGATCAAACACACTTTGTGTTTTTTCAAGAGGAAAGTCAAGTTTATAATAAGTAAGAATTTATTTTCCAAACAATTAAAACATGACAAGTTAACCGAGGCTACTGTGATGGATGCATCCAGGTGGAGAGGATGTGATGTATGGTGACTATGTGTGAATGAGATCATCAGAACCTTCGTAGAAAAGAAAAGAAGTTGGTTTGCATAAACTATGAAGTTCTTATCAAAGACACATCAGACGCAATCTCACTGTGTTCTACCTCACCCTCTGGAGACCCTCGTCGTGGACCCGGAGGTCAGGGAGGTTGGGTGACCTCTGGGCACCCAGATCCAGTAGATTGACCTCTGTACTGACTCCCCCGGTCCAGAGATGTCACCAGGCACACAGGGTGGAACTAGTTTGCGTCTCAGGAATGACTCTTAAGGAGTTGAAGTTTTCTCGCCTTGGTTCTGAAGGAGCCGTTTGCGGTGTCAGCTGTAGATGCGATGGTTAGTTTCCCTCCGATGGCCAGTCGAAGCTATGCTCGTAACTTGAACGCTGAATCGGAAAGCTGGAATGCGGCTGCTGAATCACCAGAGTGGTTCTGTTTTAATATTCTCATGTTATGAATTCCTGGCCAATCGGAACGTGCCATGTTACGGGATATTCCCAAGACAACCTCAGACATCACGCCTTCTCAGATACAGGATGCTCTGATTTGTGGGTAACAAATATCTGTCTGCAGTTAACCGTGCGTCATGAGGAGATCTGCAGTGTGGACACTGATTCACTTGTTAAATCCAACATTCCTGGTCGTCATGTATAAATCTATAATATATATAATAAATATAATAATAGATACATTTAGCATCCATATGACATGTGTTCATCAACCAAATGATTATTTAACCTATAAGTTGTAAACGCTCTTCTGTCCTGTGCTGTGAATAAAACCAGTCTTAGATAAGCGTGGGCCTGGAAGGACCTCGGAGCGAGTCTGGAGATGAAGCACCGGTTAAGACTCGCGTCTCCAAATGACCCATACTGAAGACGTAGATGGAAAAACAGACCATTCCCGGAGGCTACATAATTAATGAGCGAGACCGGTAATCCTGATGTTTTCTGCCCCTCTCTTCAGACTAACCGCCTCTTCCTGAAACAGGAGCGTGAGAGCTTAGTCCCACAGAGAACGACTCACAAGGCATTCACTCATTCTGAGGTTCCCGCTCCGTGATTGGAGGTTTGGTGCTAGTGTGTGGCGGCCTCACTTCTGTCAGGCAGCAGTGGCTGCGCTTTAGCTCATCACCACCAGTGTGTGAATGTGTGTGATTGGGTGAATCTCTTTGGGACGGGGTTCTAGAACTCTATGGTAAATAGTCCGTATTTGTACGGCGCCTTCTTAGGGTTCTACAACCCCCCAAGGTGCTTCACAACACAGCTGGTCATCCACCCATTCATCCTGGTGGTGATGAGCTACGGTGCAGCCGCAGCAGCCCCGAGTGAAGCGAGGCTGCCAAACGCTGACGCCGCCGGTTCCTCTGACCACCACCAGCAGACAAGGCGGGTTAAATGTCTTGCCCAAGGACACAACAGCAGCATTCTCTGGCGGGAGTCGTGATCGATCCTAGAACCTTTCGATCACTCGACAACCTTCTCTACATACTGAGCTCCTGCTGCCCTCTAGAGGGCGCTATACAGATACAGGCCCTTCAGCATACTGAAATAACGAGTTCACGCCCCGTTATTGGTCCTCTTTTAGGGGTTTTCTAAAATCTGAAAGTTTATTTATTATAAACAAATTGAAAGGCAACAGTTATTGATTTCTTATTCATATTTGTGGACCTGCTCCAGTTTACATGTGACTTTTTAACATTTTTACTTCCAGGGCCCTCAAGGATTTCCAGGCTTGCCAGGAAAAGCGGGGAGGAGGGGCCCCAGGGTAAGTACACCTCACTCGCTGCATTGTGACGCATTTAGCTTCCAATCTTTTGTGTTGAAGTTCATCTGTAGTTTGTCTGTGATGCCTTATTGAAAACGTAGTTTAAGCTCAGACTCAAAATGAAAAGATCTGCAGTATTTTAATCAGATACTCAGAAGTCTCGGTTTGCTTGGGCCCTGCAGGGTTTCACCCAGCCGTGCTTCTCCTCTGCCAGACTCAGTTGGTGAAACTCTTAGAGCAAACAACCAGAATCTACAAATCTGGCCAATTTGTAATTAACTCACCACATCTGAGAACATAAACGAAGTTACTGTTTCCAGTGGATTTGCTGCACTTTTCTTGTGGCTTTTCTATGATCTTCAAGTTCCCGGTTTTACATTTTCGGAGCTCAGTTTGGGTTTTCAGCCGATGGAAGCAAGGAGCAGCTTCTGTCCGTCTTTTTATGTTGGTGTTTGCAGACTGAATGAAAGAAAAGAGAAAACGCAGCAACGTGATTTATCCTGAGGGACTCTGTTAGCTGCTGCCCTGTCAACCACCTCCTCTTCTCCTTTACATGAAAGTAAATGAAGCAGAAGTCCGTCCTGGCGTTTCAGCGGTGAGATGACAGTCCTGATGTGCTACTGAGGAGCGTGTCTGTTAGCTACCTGCTGCAGGCCCGCAGTCGGGCCTCAGGGGCAGGTTGTGGGAATCCAATCCCTTTAAACATGGAAGAAAGAAGGCTTTGTCCTCATCTTATTAAAGACATTTAAGACCCTGTGAGGAGCTCAGTAGCTCTAGAGCAACCTCTATGGAGTTCATTCATCATCAAGCGTCTGAAGTCCAAAAGGCAAGGCACACTGGCTGTGTGGGTAAAGTTTGGTCCTTCTTTTGTTAGCTGTCAGAAATTCCCTGGAGAGTGTGTATGATTGGGGGAAATGCCCGACAGCTGCGTGCAAAATCTTCAGAAAGCACGAGCGGACTTGGGTCTCATAAAGGTGTGACTGAAGCCATTTTTGCAGGTCAGTCTCATTTAACCTGCATTGCATTTGCTCAGGCTTGTCCAAAAAACCACTATTGGCATCTGACCTGATGTGAAAACATAGATGAACTGGGAGTCTTGTGGTTGAAATGAAAGCTTTGTGCGTTATTTTTTTCTAATTGTGAACAGATGTATAAATGTGTGTTAGAAGGACCTGTTCACAGACAAGTCACACGTGCAACAATCAGTCATGACTTGTTGAAATTAAAGAGAGGACGTGAAATGCTAAACAGACGTTACTAGGGATGGACAACATATCAGCATCAATGTCGGTATCGGCCAGTGTTCGTCATTTTTAACGTATCGGTATCGGGCTGATAAACAAAACCGGGCCAATATTTACTACTGATATGTTTTACATCTCGTCTCCATTTGTTTGCCTCGTTCAGAGGGGGGGTGGGGGGGGGGGGGGGTATTTGTTTAGTTATGTGACAGTGAGTGTAATCATCTCAGAAGCGTAAATGTGTGTGTTGTGTGTACACGATGATGTAAATTCAGCTTTATTAACTCGTTCACCGCCATTCAAGACTAAAGTCGTCATTTGCATGTTTTTACTTTGTGGGCGTCGGACGAGCCCCCACACTGTGAGTACAGATATCCCAGCTCTGAAGCCAATCTTCATCCGCATACGTCACGCGTCACGTGATCAGGAAGCAGAACATCCATGTGTTAGGAGATCGTTTTGGGCCGCTGATGTAAAAAAAAGTGTGAGGTACGAACCGGAGAAGCTTCTGCCGATCACAATTCAACAACGGATTATGAAAGAACGGATAACGATGGAAACGCGCGGATTCTTCCTGATGTAAGAGGTGAGTCTCCTCTTTGTTTTGGTTGTTTTGGCGTCGACATCATCCTAGCGCGCAACGTTCTGTCACTCTTAAAAAAACAGTAAAAACGGTGAGAAACGCTGGCAGCGAATGAGTTAATTTTCATTCTATAAACAATCTGCAGATTTTAGAAGCATTAATGTCACGATATCGGTATCGGCAAATATCGGTTGTCGGCCATTACAGTGACCTTAATCAGATATCGGCATCGGCCCAAAAGGTTTGGTTTGTTTAAGACCTTTTTCAGACGCTGTAGGCATGAATGGAGTCGTGGCATAAACATTCATGCAGGATTTGGTTCTTTAGCTGCTTATTCTGCAGTAATTCAGGCCTTTGGCAGCTCTACATAGATGTAAAGTAAAAAAGAAGCTTCTCAAAATCTCAAATACACGGTTTATCTCTATATAGAGAAATGCCTGTTAGTTGTTTTTATGGCCTGGTGTCAGTCTATTTCTACGCTGCATGTAGGAGACTGTAGAGGAGATCCAGTGTCTAAGAAGCTGTGGCTGTTGGTGAGAAAAGCATTTGAATGAAAGGTGAAGACCCGCAGCTTTTCCCGAGAGCAGAGCTGTAGGAATTCTCCCATCAAAACCGTAACCAGCCAGCCTGACCTTCCTGACAGCGAGGTGTCATGTCTGGCTGGGCAGACAAGTCTCACCGCTGCTCCATCGCCCGAGAGCGTCCACGTTCCTCAGCGTAGCCGTGAGTCCTGCAGGGCGCCAGAGCTCAGCCAGCCCTGAAGGGACAGCATCTGGGTGTGGATCAAAGGGAGCTTTGTGCACAGTTACTGACCTGCAGGTGTGCCGGCAGGTTGTCGTTCAGAGGTTTTTGTGAACTTCACATCATTTACATAACAGCTCAAAGAATGATTGACACTCGATGGCGTAGAATAAAAGTCTATGTAGACCTAAACGTTAGCTGTGTTGTGCAGCTGTTTGACTGCAATGAAGAAAAACACTCACTGGTCTGAAATAAAATGCGTGTGTTAACATAAAAACGAGTCTGAGTCAAATTTAAGTTGCCAAGTCAGACGGTGATGTTTTCTACTGCTGAAGCTCAACAGTCCAGAAAGCATGTCACTAATTCAATAGCAGCTTTAGAGCAGTTCTAGAGTTTAAATCCACATTTTTATAGTTTTGTTGTGTACAGATCTGGAAAAATGTAGTCTGTCTTCTCCAGGTCAGGGATGAGGTCCTGCCTCAAGTATCTGAGGGAGTTTAATAGGTGAGTTGGTGCTGCGTCTGCAGGGATGTAGCCATCTGTCGTGGTGAAGATAGAGCTGAGCCGGAAGCCAAGGCTCTCGCTGTACTGGTTGATCTCCGTTCCATCCCTCACCCATGGCCCCGAGCTTTGAGTAGCAGCCAAAAGAAATAGAAACAAGCATCCGAAATGAGTTCTCTCCGCAGGGTGGCTGGGTTCTCCCCTAGACATAAGGTGAGAAGCTCAGTCATCTGGGAGGGGCTTGGAGTAGACCCACTGTTCCTCCACATCGAGGGGGGGCAGTTGAGGTGGCTCGGGCATCTAGTTAAGATGAGACCCAAAGGAAGACCCGGGACACGCTGGAGGGACTATGTCTCTCACCTGGCCAGGGAAAACCTTGGAATGCCCCAGAGGAGCTGGCCCAAGTGGCTGGGGAGAGGGAAGTCTGGACCTCTCTGCTCAGGCTCCTGTTCCCACGACCCGACTCCAGATAAGATGGATTTTTAACGCTAAACTCTAAAAATTAGAATATGGTGCAAAAGTCCATTTATTTCAGTAATCCAGCTTAGACCGAGAGACCATTTAAAGGCTCAAGAACCCTTTGCAGGTGTTTTGGAATGATCAGCTGATTAGAGCCTGACGTTGGGAGTCTAGAATACTGAACCTTTACACGAGCGTCTGGGAACTTGAATTTGGGGTTTTCATAAGCTGTAAGCTTGAATGATCTCACTTTGCACAATGAGTCGGTCTCATGTTTTAGTTAAACGTTTTTAGTAATGACTTGGGCAACACAGCAGCTATTTCTTATCTTTAGAAAAACGAGGAATTTCATGGTGCATGTTGCAAATACTAGTTGATTATTTAATTTTTACTTTAAGTTTTTACAGAATACTTCTTTATGCTTTATCCACGCACAAATGTTTACCACAAGGGTCTCAAGCTCGGGTCCTCAGGGCCACAGTCCAGCATGTTTGAGTTGGTTCCCTGCTTTAACACACCTGATTTTAATCAGCAGATCGTTAACAGGCTAAAAAGGTGATTTAACCAGTGAATGTTGGAGCAGGTAAACAACTAAAACATGCTGGATAGTGGCCCTCGAGGGCCGGAGATCCATGGTTTACTGGTTTCAACATGAGGTGCATCTGCCTACCAGACATCACTGCTGTTAAAGCGGGACGAACAGCATTTCTCATTCCCAGCTGCAAAAACATGACATGAGATGAAGGATGTGTTGTGATGCATTAGCAAAACCATTAACACCGGGAGAATGTGAGCGAGGAGAGCGAAATGAAATGTCAGCCCAGGCTGCACTGAAAGCCAAAGGTAGCGGTTAGCATTCCAGGGAAGTAATTAGTACTTGTTTTAACACCAAGGTGCTTAATAAAGTAGTTAAGAGTTTTATATACATACCATCGACACATATACTGGACAATTCGTGTCCTGTAGGCTCCAATTATACGTTTTTGTGCCAAAATGGGAGGTTCCATCAAACCCAGACAATTCCATAAAAGGGAAAAGAGGTGGAGCTGAGGGTGGGGCTGTAAGGCTGGGATCAACTGACGACACCCTGTCAAACTGAAGCGATGTAGCTACAAGCTAACCCAAAGCTAGCACGGAGGTGGGAGCTAAGCTAACAGAGGTTGCTACCTAGCTAAACCCGGTGTTAACTGTGCACAACACCGGAGGTTCTGAGTCAGAGATACGCCGGGCTGACCGCTGGGGAGAACCGGGTGGAACACAGAGGTCTCCGAGAGCTCCACAAGCCGGCAGCCGCACAGCAGACAAGCGCTGCTGCGGTCAGAGATGCGCCGAGCTGCCGCTGAGGGGAGGGGACCATACCGATAGTGGGAACCCAGCTCCACCAACATGTTATATTTCAACCCATTTTCTAAAGTGCAGCATTATGTTAAATGCACTGGGTTTTACCCTATTACATTTAAATTTCATGGTTAAACAGTACATGTTAAAATCTAAGCTCAGCTCGGCAGTGACCTAAAATACATAAATATAATTTTACTTACCGAAAAAAATGAAGTGGAGACTCCTTGGACGCTCTATTAGTGCAATTAATGCCACAGCAAGTCATTTTGTCCAACAATTGCACAATAATATCCAAACAAGAATACACACACACAGAGACTCAAAATCCCGGAGCAGTTTCCAGGCCAGACCGAGGCTCTACTGAGGCCTTTCCCCGGAGCTAGCTCTGTGGTCACGTGGGTCTGATGCTCATTAATTATACAGAATTTTAGGCTTTTAATACACTTAAACAGAAGAGTGAGAAAAACATTCACCCCCCTCAGAGTTGTCATGAGTGTAAACTAGATCATTTAAACCTAAAACATGTTCTGGTACCAGGCTGTAAACATGTTTATTTCTGCTGTGAAATTGGTATTTGGAGTCAATGAGGATTTGCTCGCTTCTGACACCAGCCCCTAGTGGATGAGGGTGGAACTGCAATTTATTTTTGGCTTCATTTTCATACCAGTATTACGGGGGCTTGGTGTATACAGGGAATTGTGTGGTCCTTGTGCGAGGGGTGCAGTGGTTGTGTCTGTGCTGTCCGGAGACGGTGTCAGCAGGCCTGATTCAGGTTAATGGAGCACTCCTGTAAACGTCATCAGCCGTCGTCGTTAACCGGCTCCCAGCTCAGGCACACAGGTGCCCTCTATCTGCAGGCCTCAGGTGGAGTAATGATGTGTGTTTCTGTGTCATGTGGTTGTGTTTAATAGTTGGTTAGCTCCTAATGTCTGGAGCGTTTTTCAGTAATTACCAAAAGCATCGAGGGTCTTCGTTCTTCCTCTCACCCATGTGAAGAAAGATAGAGCGAGTGACTCATTTCCACCATTATCCTGGTGCCTGTTGGGATACCGCCCACCCGGCTTCTCATCACCACTGTGCCTCCTTATCTTTATGTACTGCAAGAATGCAATTTGTAACGCTCCGTCCCCATCCCCACCATCCCCCTCCTCCTTTTGCCTTCTGTCTGCAGTTAATGACTTCCATACGCTTTAATATCGCGCGAGTGAAACGAGGGGAATGGTCCGAATGGAAAAGAGGGACGAGGAAATCTGTAGATGAGCTACTGTTAAGTGTCTCCATGTGTGCAGCCGTGAGCGCCTGCAAGGGGAGAGTTCTGGCCAGGTGGAGGAGAGGGGGGACCGCCTCGTCTGCTTTCTCCTCCGTGTGATAACAGCCAGATGGTGCTCGAACCACCCAGCCGTACTCTTACACCGCCGCTCCTCAGTCTGTTTTACTCAAAGTAGCCCAATCCCTCACTTTCACCTCTAGTTTAAGGGTGTGTGTGTGTGTGTGTGTGGGGGGGGGGGGGGGTCCTGTAAAAAAAATCCATGGAAACTCTGACCACGGACTGAAGTTGCTCTGACTTCCTGTTCCACATCATGTCGACATGTTTCATTGATTCTCGTTACAATTTTCCGTGCTCAGCGTTTCATTTCTGCTCTACTAAAGGGAGCAGTCGAGCCGGAGACTTGTGGACTAAACTTGTGGCTTTGATTTTCCAAAATATCCTCGTTTGCACGTTGCTTAGATCAGTGGTTCCTTCAGCTAGCCCCTGAAACAAGTCCCCCCCCCCCTTTAGCTGTTAATTACGTCTGATGCATGAGACATACAGTCACTGCTGACCTGTCCTTCAACACACACACACACATGTCAGCAACATGTGTGTGTGTGTGCTTCTGAATCCCCCTTAAAGGAAGGTCTCTCTTGTGACCAACCTCATGTCTCCATTGCCGTATGTGTCTGTTTTCAGGGTCCTCCTGGTCCCCATGGGAATCCCGGACCTCCTGGAACTCCTGGAATGAAGGTAAACAGATGATTTCATCCTAAATTGCATTATTCAAGTGTTCGAAACATGTGCAAATGTTGAAATAATCCAGATTGACACAAGTTCTGCTTTAAAAATAATGAGATAGTTCTTGAATCTTTCATCTGCTTCAAAGGATCGCGGCTAATGCTAGCAGTCATCTGCTTCGTCTGCAGATTTGATAATGAAAGGCAGGAAGGACGACGCTGGCAATGTTTTAGTTTTCCCTTAATGCATCACATATAACGAGCAGAACAATACTAAATTAAGTCTGACAATGACTATTTCCTCTGCTGACAGAGCTTTTCTTTGTGCATCAGATCCAAGCGAGTTAAACAGAACCATAAAGATGTGCATCACTGAGCCTTCGTTCTCCTGGAAGTCCTTTAGCCAAATGAACTTGGAAGCTGTAGTTCAAGCCTCTCCACTCTGAAGTTGTCATGTTCATAAATGCAAGTCCCAAAATGTGTTTCTGGGAATATGTTTGATAAGAAGTGTCTGTCTGTGATCTGTGTAACTGTTCTATAGTAAACCAGTCGTGTTCAAAGTGAGGCACGGGGGCCGTTTGCGGCCCTCAGCGCAACTCGGTGTGGCCCCACTTGCACTTCTAGAAAGAGGATTGTTCTCTCTCCCGTGGGGTGTGGATGAGCATTCCCACCTAGTTACGATTGTATGTTTGGATTCTTACTGTTATGCCAATTTTGCGCCATTTTTTTGAAGTAAAAATAAATCCATCCATCCATCTTCTGAACCCGCTAACCCCAACAGTCATGCTTTTGGACTGTGGGAGGAAGCCGGAGCACCCGGAGAGAGCCCACGCATGCTCAGGGAGAACATGTGCTGTCTCCTTCCATCCATGCTGAAGCTATACCCACCCTGGCCTTAGCTGCAGGACTGTGACAAGTGTGTGGCTGTAAAATATGATTTCTTTCTACAAAATGTGTCAAAACGTTAGCAGTTTGCTGCTATTTCATTCATACCCCACCAATTTCCTTAAGGCTCTGTTTCATGTTTTTGTCCTCATCACAAAGACAGTCTACTTCTCGCTAAACTTCCTACGTTATGAACACACAGATTACTGGGCGGCTCTTTTACAAATAAAAAATGCTGACCCAGACGGCACCACAGCCCGAAAAGGGAGAAGAATGTAGACATGACTTCTTGCTGGCTTGCAGTAAGCCAAGCATCGGGAAGGCATAAACGGACGGCACGTTAGTATAAATACAGCAACAAGGCTTGAACTCATTACTCTTCAGTGTAAAAGTGGTGGAGGCTGGAACCTCGTCTGCACAGATACTAGTGGTGGACAAGAACACGGCCTTGTTGAGAAAGGTTTACAATAAAGTGTCTGTTTTTATTTTATGTTCTAGGGACAAAAAGGAGATCCTGGTCTATCCCTTTGTCAAGCCCCAAAAGGAGCAAAAGTATGTGAGCGATCACCTTTACCTGCTTTAAAGACCAAGTTCACTGAGAAACCATTTTCATTGTTTATTTTAGAAATATAATCCGTCACTCGAGTTTCGCATGCAGGTTGAACGTGAAAAAGTCTTCTGCTTCTTTTAGCTCGCGTTAGAAAAGCCATCTAGGTTACACTGAAGACATTCAAGGACTCGCCCGTCTTGGTTCATGACGAGGAAGGTTGTTGTTGATTTATCGCCAAGGAGAGAGCAGAGCGTATTTCTAGTAGACGCTAACGTTAGCATTGGCAGTGCCGCAATATAAAACAGATACTCAAATCAGCCTTTTTGAAGTTATGAAAGCGGCAGTGAGTAGTTTCCTGCCACTAGGGGGCAGTACATACATTTCAGGGTAGCTTCACACCATATCGCCGCGACCATCGCTAGTTTAAAAATTATTACAGTAAATGTTACCTGTGGGGCAGAAAGCATGCAGCCTCGGCGTGACTCCTTACCCCGGTCTCACACTGCACGCATCAGCGGAGCGGCACCGCTTCAAGTAGAATCCAGTTAAAGTCCGTGGAGCGTTTCAAACCAGCCGCGACGCGGCAATCTCCAGGCGCGTCCCAGCAGCGGCGTGCCGCACCGCTAAAGATAGGATCGAGTTCTATTTGTTCCACGAGCCGCTTCTGGGACACGTCAATTTCCGCAGTTCACATAGTGCGAGACAGGAAACCACATGGTTTCAGTGTAAAATCCCCAGTTATTTTCAAAATAAAATGCAACGTTGCGATGCTATATATAGCATACGTCAGCACGTGTGACCGAACGGCTTTGTGTACCACCAGTTTCTATCCAGAAGTGCAGCGGCGTCATTCCTCGCGGGGGTTGTGATCTCTCCATGAGGAAGGTGTCGGAAGTCTGGAGGGATTTTAGAATCTCGCGGGTACGGCGAGGCGCAGCGAGGAAGCCGTGCCGCGGCCCAGACTCTCCCGGTGTGAAAAGGACCGCTTTGAAGTTCGCGAGTGAGCCGCTCCGCTGCTGCTCCGTTCCGCTGATGCTTGCAGCGTGACACCGGGGTGAGACTGTGATGGTCCTTCAGTTAATTTCATGGCGATGATGCGATGCTGATGCTAGTTTTATGGTGCCGTACTTTCCTGATCTGCTCGGGGTCCTGCGCCTGCCGATGACATCATCATGCTACAACTCTTCTCTTGCTGATTCTGTTCCTTCACAGATGTTTTAGAAAGAGTTTAGCAGTCATGTGATTAAAGGAATTTTACTGAAATGTTTTTGAAATCATTTTATTCATTTTCAACAACGTTTTGATGGATATTTCCAGAGATTAACGGTGAAAACTACACATCGTCTCTTTAACATATTTAACATATTTTTGTTTTTCAGGGAGAAACTGGTATCGGGGGCTCTCCTGGACTGCCTGGCCAAGATGGACGAAAGGTGAAAATTCATAAAGTTAAACAGATTTTTATGAGTAAAAGAGCTAAGATTGTCACAGTAGCAGGTTTTTGCATCTTTAACCAGTAACCTCAACGGTGCTCATGTGTGAGTGAATGTGCACAGAGCTCTTGCAACGTTCTAGCCGGGCCTTAATGAGCTGCGGTTTGGAAAAGGATCACACCTGTGTGCCTGTTCCTCTGAGAGCTAAAAGCTCCATCATCTCCTCACATCATCAGCATCGCAGGCCTCTGATGTGAAGAAGACACGTGAGGGAAAACCATCAGGATCGCCGGGTGAACCGTTTACGTGCTCCCTCTAAACGTTATGTCACTCTGTCCTTGGAGAGCAGCTCAGTCTGAAAGTAGGACAAGTTAGGAACGTCGCTCAGTTCTGACATCGGATCCGGCTCATGAGGTATTTGATTTGATTTTCTTTGCACACGGCTCATCGGTTATCGTCGGAGAGAGTGACAGTTAGCAGGAGGGTTTTCTCTGCGGCTCTGTGTTTTTTATTTTTCTTGGCCGTTCCCCAAACCCGACACAGGAATCACACACGTGTCACGTGGGCCTGCGCCTGCTGGGTTTTCCTCCTATGTGAGAAGAAAATGACTTTGTGTATTTAGTTTTCTGACATCAGTAGCTGATCTCTCACTCATTCATATTCAGAGTAGGTATTCTAGAAGGACAAACACAGAAGATTAAAGTAGGCAACCAGTTTCCTTTAGCTAAAGCTTTAACATTGACCTCAGTGATCCAACGGGGTTCAAATGAAGGCAACGGGACCTTTTTGGTTTCTTGAAGACACTTAGCTTCTCGTCCGAGGAGCTTTGTTAATTCTTACTGGAATATGGGAGCTTCAGGCTTATAAGCTGTAGCTGTCTGGTGTTGCTTAAAGAGCTGAAAAAAGAGATAAAAAGCTCAGTCATCCGGGAGGGGCTTGGAGTAGATCCGCTGCTCCTCCACATCGAGAGGAGCCAGTTGAGGTGGCTCAGGAATCTGGTCAGGATGCCTCACTGGTGAGGTTTTCCATGCACGTCCAACCGGGAGGAGACCTAAAGGTAGACCCAGGACACGGTGGAGGGACTATGTCTCTCACCTGGCCAGGGAACGCCTTGGGATTCCCCCGGAGGAGCTGGCCCAAGTGGCTGGGGAGAGGGAAGTCTGGGCCTCCCTGCGTAGGCTGCTGACCCCGCAACCCGACCCTGGATATGCGGACGATAACAGACGGATGAATGGATGAATGGAGCTGTATTATAGGTGCTGGAAAGGTGAAACCAGAGGCCTCCTCCTCCATTTAATGCAGGTTTTTACTGTTCAACATGATGGCTTCCTTTACTCTTCTCTTAAACCATCTATCTTCTCAGTCCAGAATGTGTATTTTATCATCTTCAGAGTGTGTCCCTTGTCCGTCAGATGTAAGAGGACTAGTCTGGACCTGCAGGTGGCTGTCCGGTGTTGTGCCATTCGCTTGTGTAGTTATTTATTTTCCCCAACGCGAAGGTCCGGACCCTCCTCCCGGCACCGGACTGCAGAAACACCACCACGCTTCTGTTTGGATGGACTAACTTCCGAGTCTGTTTGGAAACATTTAGTGAATATTTACTTGTTTATTTATCTGAGATAAATGAAAACATTTGATAGGACCAGTTTGGATTTTGGAAATCAGAATATCTTTGGACTAATTCATTATTTACGAAGCCGGTATTTTACTGGGCTGCAGCGTGACTGAAGCAAGGTTATAGATGTCATGCAAATGTTCTCGTTTCAATTTAGCCACAAACGTCCTATCATGTTTGCAGTTTAGCTCCAGTTTTATCTGAAATCTGGTCACCAAAAACTCGTCCATATTTCTTGCACTTTCAACCTCATGGAGACAAAATCACGACGGGCTCCAGACTGAGGGAAGGGAACACGAATGTGTTCTGAAGAGCAGGGCTCATAACTCACCAGAAAACTGAGAGCCCTCACCAACATCTCGCTAACAGACGCAGCACCGAGGCTTTTCCTTACCGGATAGTCTTCCTGTCTGTGTTCTATTGGTGGCTAGTGCAGAAATACAGGTAGAAGACTATTTTACACTCAGCCTGCACGTGGCACTTGGAGTGAGGGAGTTACTTAAAAAATAAGTAGGAAGGGTTTCTTATCGAACCTGCTCTTTAATGTTTTATGGACATTGCTCCTGTAAGAAGCTCGTGTGCTCCAAAACAACGTCATCTCGTCTGTCTGCAGCTAAAACAGACAAATAATGAACCTTGTCGCATCACAGTTTCAGCGGGAAGCACCAGGCCAGCATCTGGCTTCAGTCTGGCTAAGAGCTGTTGGACGTGTGACCAAAATGTTAAATCTTGTTTAAACAGTTAACTCACTGAACTCAATACGAGCCTGCAGGCTTTGGGAGAGAAAGAAAAGCTTCAACTCAATCCCCACCTGTGGCCTGATCCTTCCATACTGCGAGAATCAGACGCCCTTTTTCCTTTTAGGGATTAAGGAGATGTGATCTTTTATCTCTTTAAAAATGCCTGCAACTCTCCTGTTGAAGGGCCACATGACCTTTACTCCTTCATCCCTGCAGGGAAAACGGCTCCTTATCTCTGCTAAAATCTGGGTTGGGGCTGAATGATGGGGCTAAGAGGCCTTACGCTCTGTCTGCTCTTACCAGCTTTCTGATAAGTTGTATAAAATGTTCTGATTCCCTAGAAGTGATTTCTCAGATCGAGTTTGACTAAGAACAGCAATTGTTTTAATATGACAGTGTGTACTTTTCCTGGCAATAGGGGGCAGTAGAGACCTAAATTGTTGCAACTAAGCAGTATTTTTGTGTTGGAGGAAGACCTTACCAACGGATGTCCATTAGGGTCAAAAAGCCCCAGGGAGCGCAAACGTAAGCAAAATAACGAGCACATCAGAGTCCCTTTCATCAACACCTGAAGAGGTAAAGGTGTAAACAACAACTTTTAGCGATGATGAAAGTTTTGTAACTGTTTTTTACAAATCAGTAAAAGCATTTTGTCCTCATGGGCTCCCTTAGAAGGGAACATGGCGTCTATGTTTATGTTTATTATGTTTTTATTTAGCAGACGCTTTTATCCAAAGCGACTTACAGTTTATAACCTACAGGGCATGTTGTGATCTGTGGGTAAACCGGAGTACCCGGAGGAAACCCACGCATGCATGGGGAGAACACGCAACTCCACGCAGAAAGGCCGCAGCCGAGCAGAGTTTCGAACCTGCGACCTTCGTGCTGCGAGGCAACAGTGCTAACCACTGCGCCACCATGCAGCCCAGTCTAATATGGCTTCGTCCAGAGACATAGACACACTCCCATGTATCTTAGACCTGATCTTTGTGGTTATTTGTTATGAAGCCGCCAATATTTTTCAAAAGTTGGGCATCAATTCATTCATTTTCAACATTTTGATGATTTCCAGAAATTAATGGTAAAAACTAGACATTGTCTCTTTAAGAGACATCTGTCTGTCCGTCTCTTTTTACCCAGCTGTTCTGGTCTGTCTCTCCAACTTTGTTTGTGAATGCATAAAAATCCGTCATTAAGATTGTGTAATTGGGAAATGAAGAGTCTGCTGTTGTGTCTTGGTGGTTTTACCACCCTGCTCGTCCATAAACCAGTCACTGTACAGCCACGGCAAACAGATTGAATAACATTAGATAAAATGTTCTAAATGTAGTTCGCCAGCTGAAGGGCTGAGAAGTGTTGATGGAAATCAGTAGACTGATAAAAAGGCCAAGTTTTCTCATCACTACTTGTCTTAGAAAATGTTTTACTCAGTCTGAAATAATGCCAAAAGTTTCCAAAGACTCAGGATCACATTCACAAAAGGATAGCACGCGTGCTGCAGGTGAGATTTTAGGTTTTGGGCTTCTGTCTGATTCACATAGGCTGCATTTATTCTGCACAACAGACTGGTCCGGCTAACATTAATGCATGCAAAATGACACAAACATTTCTGGATTTATACAACACATATTCCCTGTCACACTGTTTTTTTAAAGAGGTTTCTCAGAGAAACATGACACTCTTTAAAAACCTTTTTAATGATCCTCACACAGAGTTTCACATGCATGCATACATGAAAAAAGCCTTCTACCCCGTTTCCTGCATTCACCGCTGAAAGAAAATAGATGGTGAAATGCTTGAGTTAGAGAAAGCCCTACAACTCTACGTCACAGTGTCAATTTGCATTCATAGACTCATCCATCTTGGCTCGCGGCCACCAAAGGCTGTGTTGATTTAGCATCCAGGGGGGAGCTGAGCATGTTTTGTTTAGTATAAGCTAACATTTAGCATTAGCAAACGTTAGCTTTTGTTTGTGGAGATAAAATATCAACGTTGCAACATTTTTTCAGCCACTTTCAGTGAACGAAGGTACCAGAAGATTCACGCTGCAGTTAGCCAACTGGAGACAAGAATTTTGCATTTAATGGATTTTAAGGAATAAATATCTCATTCTGGTCATTTTCCGTCCCCTACTCCTCCGACTATCTTCTACTTCCTGAGCTTTTTCCACTGACAAAAACTCAGGAGGGATTCGTTCACACTTGAGGTTATTGCACATTTATTAACATAATGAGTCTATGCCCATTTAAAAAAAAGGTTAAATCTGTGCATTTAAAGAAAACGCACCTTTTTTTTAATAAAAGTTATTGGTACAAAAATGATCTGATTCTCAATATCAATTATTTTTTGTAGTGTTGAATATTTTTTGGTTTTTGACAATAAAAAAGGGCTGGCATGTTAGGAAAAATGTCATTTATCAGACAACTTAATCTACAGAGATTCTGTCAGAAATGTGGGAATATGCAGTGACAGAAAAGTGACCTCCCTGTAACGGGAGGGTTGCAGGTTCCAGCCCCATCTGTTGCAGTCGTTGCCTGCTGGTGGCGGTGGGAGGGACTGGTGGGGACAGTGCTCTGTATCCTCGCCTGTTTTGGTGATTACCTCGTAGTTTATCACCACCAGCATGGGAATTTGCGTGTGTATTT